ACTTGTCCCTAATAATTTTATTTCATTGTATCATAATACCTACGATCATAAAATATACCACTCGCCAAATCTAACCGCCTCTTATCGACTAAGCCCTTCGTAGGTTACACGACATATCCCATCGACAAGCGACTGACTCGCCGTTTCGCCCGTGTCAATACATTGACATTAACGTTAACTGTAATAGCATCTAGGTTATTAATTAAATTTGTATAGCCTACTTTTTTTTTTTGTTGTGATGTGGAAGAACATAAATTACATTTATATTTGCCGTCATTTAAAGGATTAAAAAAAGTATCCTTTTGATTATTGGTTATCAATGTCTGCTGTCTAAAAAAAGCATCATCTTTGATTATCAACTATGATCTGGAAGAACATAAATTACGCTAATGATTGTCGTCATTTGAAGGTCTGAAAAAAATATCTATGTAACATTTGTTCGGAACCAATTATTTAAAAAAGATCTGAAATACTACACTGATTTTCATGTCTTTGTAAAGGAATGTAAGCTAATATTCTTGTGGCTAGCACCATTTATAAAATTTATAATTTAAAAAAAACCGATTATTTGATTGCATTATAAATATTTATTTTTTTAAGACCACTCCAAAATGTGACATTAAATAACACCAAAAAAACAGTAATTCTATTGATTATAAAAAGATACAAAAAAGCCAAGTCTACAATTTGATTGGTTAAAGTATTTAGACTACTTAAAATTTTCAGATTCTAATGTTTATAGAAATTTAGGTTATAAATAATAACGCAAAATTATATAAAGTAACCTCAAAAACCTTTAGGAAATTGTCATCAATTATGAAGGTTACTCGTATAATAATAAATTTATTGTCGTTTTTATTGATTTTAATATTACAAAATTATTTAATAGTCCATGCTATTTATACATCATTGAAACAATATTTGAAAGTATCTGAAAGAGAATTGCCTGACTTATTGGCTAATGAAGAAATTTTGATCAAAGGAAATCGTCTATTAACTCCATTACTAGATGAATCAAGCTTTGGTGGTTCTTATATAGATATAAAAGCAAACAAGATAAATATCAACATAGTAGATTCATCTAAGAAAAATGACATAATGAGCAATCCTGTAATGGAAGAATACCTAAATTTATTGTCTTTCAAAAAAATATCTAATTCCTTAGATAAATTAAATGCCGCTTTATATGAACTACATAATATGGCTAAAAGATATAATGCAACAAACCTTACAATAAGTAATGAATACGAATTTAATAAAATAGTCTTATATTTAAACGTTAATGATTATGAAAAGAACAAAGCATTTATTGATGATGCTGAAAAACTTTACCCAAATTTGTTACATATCGTAATTAAGGCTAAGAACAAGATATCTTTTAATTTGTCATCTAGTTCATTTGCTTTAAAAACTCGCGATATAAAAAATGTAATCTTTGGTGGTGACGGTTTGGTTACCGAAAGTGGAGACCAATGTACTGCAGGTTTTTGGATGCGTCAAGATAATTTTACTTTCTTAGTAACTGCAGGGCATTGCGCACGAGATGCCACTCATACTCCTGATGGAAATGTTAGATTTTATTATTACCCAAGTCCTCCCTATTTGGTTGGAGAAATGACATACTACGAATACGAAGGAGTTGATAGGGGTTTTATTTTGGTTAATAATTCTGATATCTTAGTCGTTCCAAATATAAAAAATGTTGGTAATGATACTTATAGAGAATTATTTATTATTGGTACTGTAGATATAGATACCGTAGGTTCTCATATATGTATTGCTGGTGCAAACTCTCACGTATCTTGTGGCAAGGTAACAGCTATAAATATGGTTGCAGATATACGAGGTTTTGGAAAATTTGGAGGCGTTATCAATACAGATATCGTGTGCCAAGATGGTGATAGCGGTGGTCCTGCATTCCAATTTAAAGATAGATTCCCTCGATACGTTTATTTGGCTGGTATACTTATAGCTGGTGAAGGTAATCTTTCTATCATTGAACCACTAAACAAGCTTTTAGATGATGATATGATTCCTGTTAGATACAACCCTAATTTATTTGATTTTGATACACCTCCGTAGGAGCTAGTTTAGATTATTGAACTTTTTTTTCAGTAATTAAGACCGATATCAGATTAAATCTTTCCTTTTAAATTATATTTCTTTTCTGTTAGACAGTAAATAAATGTTTAGATCATCATAAAGTACTCTAAAAAAAATTTCATATGCACGCTGGAATGGAATTTTTGTAGATTTAGAATCCATTTAGGTTGATTTCGAATAAACATAGGTTGTAATAGAATTTTAAATTGTACTCGAGTTATAGAATTCAAATTCAACTTAAAGTAAATGGATTTTAAAATATTTTTATCGAGCAATTTAAGTCTTTTTAAAAATTTATTTATAACTGCATATGCTACATAAAATTTTTACATTTATGGTTACTAGAATGACAACTACTATTACGTTGTAAATTCTTTTTTATATTACAATTGTTTTTATCAGACGAATTTTTACATTTAACATTACCTACTTTTGCAAAACACTTATAAACGTTGAAGAAATACTATCAAACTATGAAAATCAAATAAGCTTGAGTCAAATTTAATAAGTTGAATATAAGTATTAAATTAGAATAAACTTAATTGATAATCTGTGTAGTATGTTACGGGCCACATTGGTTTTTAGGTTTTTAGGTCAAGTTAAACTTGATCCGGGTAAAATTAATCAATCAAAAAACTCCGACTTGCATCGACATAATGCCAACCCTAAAATTCTGCAAAGGTCATTTTGCCCGGGTCAAGTTAACTTGAACCGTAACATATATTTGTATGTCGTACACCTAGGTTGAATCCAACTAAACATAAGTAATAATAGAATTCTAAAATATATCTGAATTGTTAAAGAATTGCAATTTAACTTATGAGTATATTCCAAATTATGTTATCAAGTACTTTGTTTTAGAATTTAAGTCTCTTCAAAATAAGGATTATTCATTATTTATATTTCAAAGTTATATAAAGTTTTTACATCTATGATTAGTGAGATTGCAACACCTCTAGTAGGTAATGTTTTTTCATTTACAATGATTTTTATCACACGCGTTATTACATTTGCATAATATTATCTTCTTTAGTACTTGTGAAGAGGATTGCAAAATAGACACGTCTCGAACACTTAGGAGCTACAGTCAACTTTTTCAAAAACTACTTAAGATTCTGGAAGAAAAAAAAAGTTCGTTATAGAAAATTGCTATGGTTTTTTAACACATTGCATCTTTTATCTACCGAACTATTGTAAATTTTCAAAATTTTGACTTCTTTATATCCAAAGTCGATTGTACTATCTAATTTTAGCAGAGCGAGGTTTAGAGTTATCTTTTTGATACAGTTAGGTTATAGGGTTATATAGAATATCACGAAATAATTTATGCAGTATGTAGATCATATATTAAATTAACTCTTCTGCTTTAGCCGACCTCTAATTTTGATAATACTGTATTTGTATCCAAAACTTTGAGAGAGTCTTTCGATTATTATGCTTGTATTTACTGGATCATGTTAAGACCTTAACACAAAAATTATTGGCTGATTTATTACTAATATATTTAGAACGAAGTTCTTCGAATGCATTATGAGGCAAAAATGAATAATCTTGAAATTCGGTCATCGGATAGAGTTTTGCAAAGAACGAAAAATGAAATAAGGAAAATTGCGTAGTAAGAAATTTATGTTTTCTCTTGACAACTTATTATGTCGATATGATTAGAAATGGGTCATGCGTGGCGTGATTCCTCAATCATGCACATTTTATCCCATCTAAATTTTATATATGAAAATTAAAGTATATATAATTTAAGCTAGATTGCATAATACCGGGCGGAAATAAGAAATAGAAACACAACTGGTCCGAAAAATCCCGAAAAGAAAATAAATGAAAATAATAGACGGGTCAAATATTTGAGTGAATATCCAATATTTTATGAAGGGAAAATATAAAATCCAAAAATTTTATCATGCGCATTTTTCTCATATCTAGATATGATTTAATTATCCGACATTTCATATGTTCATGTAAGGTTTTTTGCCATATTATTTGGAAAAAATTACGTAATAAGTAGCTGCGCAACGCAGTCGCGCGAACCAGGAACGGGGAAATCTATGCCGACTCCATTTCAGTTATGGGAAACCATATTCTTGATTGCAATTAGAGATGGGCACATGCGGGATTTTTAATATGATCCCGAAATAAGATTATTTGGCCGGCATTACTGTAATATCTGACTAGCATTAATATAATATCTGACCTGCATTAGCATATTTAGCTAATTCCTAATTAAAATTTATTCATACCATTTCACACATATGTTTATTTATATATATATACGATAATAATTTACTTTCTTTGTCGTTGGTATCTTTCGCTACATTACAAAAATATTCTTTATGATTAAGTAACTCTTTTAAAAATAAATAACATGCATAGTAATAATAATATTTGGAATTATACAAAAATTGGATCAGATGAAACCTTTAACCAAAAATGTACTTAATGTAATTACTGCCATTAACCTCACAAAAAATACGTGGAAATTCACTATTTTGATTGACCAACAGCAACAATCAAAAATTTAGGCAAAATTATTCAAATTTTTAGTAAAGAAATCATGGCTGCTCATTAAGTGAAATTAGGGTTTAAAATTTTGTGGTTTAATGAATCCCACGCAGGATTTTTGGAGAAACCATGATTTGCCATCTCTAGGTACTATATATTCCATGAAATTACATGAAATCCATGTTACTAAACTTATGTGAAATTACACGTATTGTAATTTTCAACCCTAATTTTACCATTACACAGACCCAAACCTTAAACAATTAAAAAATTAAACTCCGGTCAAATTATGTATAATGCAGCTAAAATTTTGTTGATCACAGCTGTTGGCCAATCAAAATGAGGCTCAACTAAACAGCACCTATATTTAATAAATTCCACATGGGATTTTTTGAAGAACTGCAATTTGGCCATCTTTAATTTCAATTCATTTCTGATATAAGAAAATGACTCTTTATAAAAGAATATAATGGTACTTGCAATTTGAATATTAGTTAGAATTTTAGTAACTAAGCTTAAAAACCTATTAACGAAGTCAATGTCTAACTGTTATATAGTTGGTTAGTTAGCATCACTTAGTTCTGATTAGTAATGTGTTACATATAGTACAATATGCAAAATTTTTTTTTAAATATTATAGAACAAATTATAAAACCATCTTTTGTATTTTAAATAAAATTATTCTGATAAAATTTTGTATATAGATAGTTTATATATTATATATGTACTATACATATTGCATATACTATATACACTATATGCACTATATATACTGTATATACTATATATAGTAATATGAAGTATATGGTTAGGAACAGCACTAAAGAGACAAGAAGGAATGTGATGAATTGTCATTTCAAATTTATTGACATTATGTAATATTACTTAAAGCAGATAAGACAGATTCAATTTAGCATTAGTCAAAAGTGATCTTGAAAACATTACTAGTGATGGCTTAAAGGAGCATAGGTTTATTAATTATTAGTTTATTACAATTAAAACTTTATCAATTATGACTTTTATTTATAGGATTGGTTACAATTTTAAAAATAAAAAGTGTGATGGCCTAGTGAAGTAGTCAGATTGTCAACCCTCCAAGTGGTAGGTTGGGTGTTCAAATTCTATTGACAGCAAAAATTTGAATAATCACCTATGTAATATTCATATTACAGCAACTGTTACTAATGATTAGGTCAGGATACCTGTAATGGTAGTTGCACCAGCATGACTGGTAGGTTATGGGGCATTCATGTAACAGGTCACATGACATTGTCCTTTGAGACAAGGTTGTGGTTATATAAAGAAATACAAACTGGCAATTAGGTGGTACAAACACTAGATAAGTCCTTGTGACTGTGTAAATCCATTGAAATTGGATAACAAAAAGTCTATTTGGGAAGACCTGAGTAGAGAAGTAGCCAGATCTTCAATGACTCTACTGTAAAGACTAGCTTTATGAAATAAATACCAAGGTCAAAGTAGTCGGATGGGCAAAAACCTTTAGATGGAAGGTACCACCAACCAGGTTACCAGTTCAAGCCAAAGGAAAAGGATATTGGGCTGATCTGATATACCAATGGACTAGTCGTAAGTCCTACTGGGCTATCTGAATTGGGAGTTTAGTGAACAGGCAAGGATATACTAAAGTATTTCAGATATACTGTGAAGTAGATGCTGGGGTTTGTGTGAACTCTACAAGGTCATAGTGGTTTAATGGTTAGCCCTGACTGCAAGTGTTGGTTCTGCCATAGTGATATCTAGGTTAGTTATAAAAATAGGTACAGAAGATTCTAGAGGGTTTACCTTGAGGATAAATTAGTTCTAAGGTTAAGATGATAATCTGGGCATCTGGGATAACCCAGTGTTGTTAACACAGGTTACAGGTCTGAGGGTTTAAAGTAGAACATCCAAGCAGAGGTGTTAGGTATGGCAATTGGTAGAGAACCTTCGGATGAACTCCTTAAATAGGTAATATAGAAAAGTTATACATATAACCAATTGTACACTCTCCTGTAGTGGTTTATTAAACCATAATTCCAATAAATGATTAATAAAAGTCAAAAGACTAAAAAGGTCACCTTAATATCAAAAAAAAACAATTTTAAAAATAATTCAGTTTTTATTTACAGGATAGTTATTGATTACAAGAAAGTATAATAATATTTATTATTTACAAGAAGACAAATTTAAACTATTTTTATAAAACATTTTCAAGAAAAAAGAGTGAATTTTGAATATAGCTTTGATATTTTTTTTCTCATTATCAAAGACTATTTTTCTCTTATTTACTAACACCTTTCTTTTTTTCTACAATTCTTTATCATTATTTTAGAATTTTTTTTCTCTTATTTTACAATGATATACAATCCAATATATAATGACATATTTATATGGTTATAGACTTTATTTGCCAAGATAATATTACTTTAACAGCTGTATTCTAAATCAGCCAGAAGGTTTTTTTTTAA